ATTCAAGAAAATTGAAACATATTGCACCTTTTGTCATGGTGAAGTAGAAACCATCCCATTTCTTTTATTACTGTATATAATCAAAGGAATTCTGGTCTAATCTTGAAACACTTAACCTGCAAAAAACATCCATCAGAATTCATTTGGACTGCTCAAGCATAATAACCCACTTCTGTCATAAACAATATAAAACTGAAATATTTAGTAAACCTGTGCATTCTGTTTCATATCCATAAGTCCATATTCTCCAATTCCAGACCCCTATTTAAAACCAGTATCCTAGCCATTAAGAATTATTTTCAAACACTAAACAGTATTTTTAACAATAAAGAACAATAATAAAATATGTTATTATAGATCCATGGTCACAAGAGGCAATTTTGTGTAATATATTATGCTATAGTAGACTGTGTTAATGGAAAAAATATCAAATATTTACCATCATCAGTAAAGAGTGGGTTTGCGGATCACACAGAATTGCCACATTAACATTTGGAAGTAGGTAGGGTGACCAGATTTTCAAAATAAAAAACTGGGACAACTCTGGTTTAGGGTGGATGGTAATCATTAAATTATGAAACAAGCGCGTAATTAAGTAAAATTCTTAAGCACTTGGCATTAATGTCAGTCAGTATAGTAATATTTTCTCTGTGTTTTGGTCATTTTTAAGCAGCTTTTCTGTATTTTACCTAAACAAATGACAATTTATGCCTCTCTTTACTGTTGGCAGGGATCAGATTGGTCAAAAATAGGGACACCAGGGACATTTCTTGTATAAAATTGGGACAAATCATTGGTTTTGGATAAATCTGCTGGGACAGGAGACACAGGCCTCAAAACTGGAACTGTCCTGTGTAAACAGGGATGATTGGTGGTCACCCTACTAAAGGTAAAAAGGTGCTTTAGGGATGAAGACAACCTAATAATAATAAATGATTACTCAAACATGTGTGAATGAAACAAAGCACAACTCCATGTATGTTTTTGAGGAGGTAAGATCTCACAGGAGTTTAAAGACCAACATGGGGTGTAATAACCTTAGTAACACCCAGTAATTGGTAGCACCACAATTACAGGTTACAGTATTTTTGCAAAGGAATGCTACATTGTTAGGGTGACCAGAATTTCAAAATAAAAAACTGGGACATTCTTGGTTTAGGGCAGGTGGTAATAATTTAATTGTGAAACAAGCGCGTTCTGCACTCGGCCTATTCATGACTTATTCGATACTAACATAAGTCAATATAGTCACAGTTGGTAAATTTTACGCAGCTTTTCTGCATTTTTTTTTTTTATAAACAATGGTCAATTTATGCCTCTTTTTTGCTGTTGGCAGGCATAAAATTTGTCAAAAATAGTGACACCTGACAGTATCCTGCCTCCGCTCAATTTCATTTCTCTCCAGCGACTAGGTCAGGAATTGGAATACATTTAGATGGTTTGTAAGAACTCCGGAAGTTGTAGACCGTGCACTGGTCGATCAGTGAAGAGCTGCGAAGCCATGACGTCAAACTCGTCGCGTCTGTCTGGGTCCCTTTTGTGGAACAGCACAAGACTAAACAAAGCGGTCGAGATGGATGTAGACGAAGACAGACATTCAGTGTTGGCAACGATTCCAGAGATCAAGGATTTAAGGCAGAAACAAAAAGAATGTTTGGTGAATTTTATAAAGGGAAAAGACGTTATTGCCCTTCTTCCTACAGGATTTGGTGCATTACATACATCATGAGCAAATTGCAGCAATTGGTTAAATAAAAAAAGTACTCGTCTACCATCGCACGAACGAATCCTAATGCTGCCAGGTCAGACAGTTTCCACAAAATGAAACCAGCTGATGAATCAGGCTACATTTCTAGTATAAAGCTGGGACAAATCAGTGGTTTTAGATAAATCTGCTGGGACAGGTGACACAGGACTCAAAACTGAGATTGTCCCAGTAAATATGGACTCTGGTCACCCTAAACAAGAGTCAGTTTTGTTTAATATTCTATGCCATGGTAGATTTATTGAAAAAATATCAAACTCCACAAATGTCATATTAACATTTGGAAGTTGTTAAGTATTATCTTAAAACATAAAATAAAAATGAACTGAGTCAGAAAAAACTTAAATCTTTATTGCTGAGATTAGCATGCACACATCACACATCAATGTCACACAGTGAGGTCACTAGCTGCTGGTCAAGCTGCTTCAACATGTTTGTTTATTTATTTATTTATTTCAGTTTAAAGTCTGAATAGCATTTTATTGAACATGAATAAACATTTTGTATAAACATGTTGTCAAGTGGTTCATATGACTTTTATCCGAATCTAGGCTGTTGCACTGTCATTCCCTGATCACCAGATGGCAGTATTGTGCATGGAAAAAGTCTATTCAAATGACCGTACCAGTTATGTTTGGTTGGAACGACTGAAATTGCAATATTTCAGTGAATACCTGAGAAAACTTTCTAAACCATCTCACCATATATTTAGGAAATGCTGCCCTGGTGATTTCATAACACATAACACATTTCATTTCATTTCATAACAGCACAAAATGTAATAAGACGCTTTAACTTTTCTGGTGGAGGATACGCTGCATTTTTGTCTTTAGGGAGATGTTATTGCTTTGCTTGTTATGTTATACAGTCTTAGTTTCAATAGAGGTGATTTTATTGTTCAGACATACCCCTAAGAACATGCTTTCTTGTGTGAGCAGGCCCGCCTCTCCACAGAATTGATCTGTACTACGGGCCTGCTTGCCTCCATGGAGACAGATAAGTTTAATGTCGTACTAGACTAGCATGTGACGTACCTTCGCCAAGAAAAGTTAGGCAGTGCACCTTTAAGGCTTTAAAGTGGTTATGACAGGATTTTATTATTCTCAAATTTTGACTTAATTTCGTGAGATAATAAATGTTGTAACTATAAACTATAGTTTTGCACCAAACAAGAAGCAATTTGTGAAGAAAAGTTTAAAAATATGATGAAAATGACAGGAAGAAGAGCATTCTAAATCAAGGCTATGTCCAAATGTCCACGCTATTCTCTACTTAGAGCATTATTTAAGGTTCAGGTAATTTTTAGGGGCGTCCAAATGACCTGTGACCTTAGAACTATAATAAAACCTGAAGGTGAATCCAAGATGACGTTGTATTGTTTTCAGTGGCCTGTGCTCATTGGCTCACGGGCCCAAAAATAATTTTCTCTTCTGCACTTACTTTCTCAATAAGGGCAAGCTCCTCCCACCCATGTGACGTCTGTAACGTGCACGTCGTGGAGCGTCTGGACCAATCAGAGCGAGAGCTGCTAGAGTGGAGCTAGTGCGGGCTCAGAGCGGGGCTAGGCTAAGTCTTACAAAATGAACTTTTAGGCACTTAAAGAGTTTAAAAATGTTTAAAAGTTTATACTGTGAACATAGAAAAGAATCCCTATAAAATCCAAACACAGGCAGTTTGAATTCCCAAAAAATGCTTTGCGCTCTGTGGGAGAATTCTTTTTGGGCCCAGTCTCCTGGGAGCTGAAGAACCTGGAGCGACCACTAGTCGATCTTGAGCCGGGACAGAGGAGGAGGGGCTTATCCAGTTTTTATTATAGGTCCATGCCAGTGAGTAGTGCACAATGCACCTTGAAAAGTGGTGGGCATCGGTGGTCATTAGAGTGGTCAATATAGACCACAATGCACTGGGAGAGTCTGAAAAACAGCAGCATTCAGTGACAGGTGTTTAACTGGACACAATACTTGTGAACGAGGCAAATAGAAGCTCTGGTTTATGGTTCTGTGGTTCCTGTTCTTAAAGAAACATTATGATGTTAGAGTTGCAGTGCTAGTGTTAGCTGCTTACCTTAGCTCCAGCTGTTAAAAGATCAATATTTTCCACATCTTAGCAAATAATCCAGCCTGTTTGCATGAGCTGATTATTATTAGTCCATAAACACTAGTGTGTCAGTCTGATCTGATCATTATTTATGACAGAAATCAAGTTTTATTGGAGTTTAGTAGACTCTTTTTCACCTAGAAGCCAGAGTCACATGACCTGATTGAAGTGAACTTGGTGTCCATATCTCTCTGAAAGAGTGCACTATAGAGGGCGCTAAAGAGTGCGGGCCTATGTACCTCTGTTGGGAATGGGTGAGTGGGGTTAGGGATGAGGGTGGACTTTCAGACACACCCACTGATGATGTGTTTCCTTTTATTTTTATTTGTCAAATAAGTTCCCTAGTGTGATGTCACAATTTCCAACCAGGAAGTAAAATTTGAAACCTAAAAATTGCCAAATTGGGATTTAAAAAAAAAAAGTTTATCTTAAATATCATGTTCTTTACTGTGTTTTAGTAAAGTGAGTAGTCTAAGCTGTCATAGGCACTTTAAGTTTGTTTCAAAATATATGAAACTAAATATAATTTTATTGTTATAATATTCCCCTGAACCTGAATTAATAACGATACTCTGATTAGCCTTAATAAAGCATGAACAAAGTCTATTAGGAGTGATTCAGGATTTATTAGTAACTCCTTATTTAAAGATGAACTGTCAACAAAGCTTAAAACATGTAAAACCAGTTATGTGGCTGGAAATCTTGATTTGGTTGTTTTTAGTCTGAGCACCACTGGTGTCCAGCAGCTACTCAACATGTGTTCAGCTCACAGTGTGGAGCAGGATATAGAGTATAATGTAACCAAGAGTACGACCATGATCTGTAGGACTGAAGATAGGGCGAAGATAAAGACGAAAGATGAGATATCATGATTTTGCCTGTCCAGTGTTGTGTTGACTGTTACAACAAAAGTGAAATATCTTGGGCAGATCGTCAGTCTGGACAGATGACATGACAGGTGATGGTGATATGTACAGACAGTGTAGGACGCTCTATACTCAGGCAAACACTCTTATGACTAAGTTTGGCTCTTGTATTCATAAATTATTATTTTTTTAAGTACAAAGTTGTACATGGCCCTCTGGACTAATTATAAAAAAGCAGAGTCTGCAAAGACTGCAGGTGCCTACAATGATCCTCTGTGGGTGTTTTTGAAAAAGCCCTGATGGACGAGTGTAACTGAGATGTTTGTTACTACACGAGTGAACACTCTGCAAGATGTACTAAGAATGTTTTATTTGCAGGCTGAACAAATCAGACAATGAAATAATAATGTCACTCACAAATATAAGATTCAGTACAATATGATATCAGTCCAACATGTGGAGACACTGATCTGGCTTTTAAAAACATAAATGTTTATTGTACACTGGAATCAAAATGAACTGAATTGAATTAAAGGGTCAGGGTGAAAAGTGAGGGGATTAACTGTATAGTTATAGTTATTAAGCCTGAATCATTCTTAATGCTTTTTTTTTTTAAGGCCATTGAAGGTGCAGGTATTATAAAGTTGTCTAGGCTCTTGAGTCCTATTGACAGTACAGCTGGTACTTGAGCAGAGCCCCGATCTTGGTTCCCTCCAGTTTCTGTTTGAAGGCCTCGTCCATCTGCTGACTCTGCTCTGGAGAGAAGTGGTTCTTCCAGTCTCCAATTTCACCTGGGCACAAAAGGAAAAAAAAAATCAATCTACTAAGAGCATATTAGCAGCATATTAGCAGCATATTTGTGCACATGCTCCATTAGTGCTGTTCACATATTTACATGACATGACAATTAGGCTACATTACCCTATTTTAAAGCAATATAAACAATAATGTTAAGAAGTATAATTTGATTTATTGTATATAATTTCACATAATACAAGTCAGTGGAATGTGGTCATTGTACCCATGATGGATGGAACTGAAAGCGCCCCCATGCTCACTTCCTATTTGGAAGGCTGTATATATACAGTCCATGGATAATATAGAGCATAAAGAGGCAAAGTCTAAAAGGCCATGTCTGTCAAAGTCCCAGCACCACTATTATACTACCTAATCAAAGTGTAAGAACAAAGAGCTCACCTTTCCTGAAGAGGACGCTGCCCATTTTTTGGTGGGTTTGGGATGAATTCTTCTTCATGGCGTTGAAGGTGCTCCCCTGTGAGACCTGCTCCACCTGAGCGTCAGTCAGAGAGAAGCCAAAGAACGTGGAGATCTGACGCACTCCTTCACTTAGATCCTACAGAGAACACAAAGGACACACTGTCAACTCATACTTTGCAGCTGATGTCATCAATATTCTGATGCGAATGCGATGAGTCTGATGCTAACTGTAAGCACAGCTCTGTCTCAGGCTTTCTTAGACTTTAATCTGGGCTATATTTTTACACAATCTGACCATAAATAAATGACTTAGTTGAAACTACGAAGGTGAACTGATTTGCTCAGTTAAATAAGACCCTCTCAAATAATTTTACAGTCACAAGATAGTTAGCATTAGCTCATGGTTTTTCAGTTAGTCACTCTCACCTTTTTGTTAGAAATCCCACTTCCAAGCAGGATCATGAACACTCATATTGAGCGTTCATCACAGGTTGAACATATTTATATCCATTTTGTATTTTTTCTTGAGTTTTCAGACAGTCTTAAAACTTCTTTGACTGTGTTTGCTGTGTGTGCATTGTATCTCCATGGTAACTGTGAACAATCCACCAATACACATACATGTAGAACACCCCCAGCGTGATGTCACTGTTCATGATGGACTTGTGTTAGTGCATGTGTCAGTCTAACAGACCTTTTTGAGATCTTCATAGGTTATGAACATGACATTAGGGTCGTCCATCTTCTTCTCCCAGGCCAAAGCGTGGTCAAAGTACGAGCCCCATGGAACTGCAAAACAACACACACATTGGATTTCCATGCTTTTTGAGGACGTTATAGTATAGCAGTATTACATTCATTTCCTGGAGACTGGTCCTCACTTTTATTTGAGCAGCAGCTGAGCAATATAACATATGACTGTTTGAAGCACTGCTTTACAGGCATACAACAAATGGAACAAGTCCAAGACTGGTCCCTGGGGCACTCCTTTGAAGATGTATGAAACTTTATATCAGAACATATTGAATGTATCCAAACCACACTAATGCCTCATGCAACAGTCAATTTACATGAAATAATGTTCTACAGCCTGTGAAAATTTAGGATTTACATGGCCTTTAACTTTTAATTCTCCAAATGTCAGTGGATATAAAGTTGTGGTTTGTGGATACTTAGTTCTGATGAATTTATGGAACTGTTACTACAATATGTGTTTAATGGTGCTGAGCCTGATTTTTACTAACTTAAAGAAGACATATTGTGCTTGTGCCTGCGCTGTACTTATCTATCTATAGATATCTATAACACCCGGGATCATTAGGTTATCATTTGGATGGTTTAATATTGATCTAAAATGACTTGAATAAAAGATACAGGTCTGCTGATTTGACTGAGACAATGGAAATAAACTGTTAAAACCATGCGTTGGAACATTCTCCATGACAACAGATAGGTTTTATGCCACAAAGTGAACATTATAGTGAAAGGAAGAATATTTCCATGGAAACAAGCAGGAGGAGGCCTTCCTTCAGGTCAAAGAATAGTCAGTTTTGAGGAGATGCAAGCTCACTCACAGGAAGAATACATGTTTGTCTTTGTTTTTCAGTGCTATAAACACAGCCATCCAGAAAACATGCCTTTATGTGAGTCACACACTATATTGTTAAGAATATGATAAACAGAACTAGTCTCATTTTTTGCCACAGTCCAAATTTAATCTTCACTTTCCAAACACATTCTTAGCATCCAAATTATTCACCACAATGAGTTTATACAATGCTCAGAGGCTGCATCCACAAAAAGACCACAGATTCATCTACTGTATTCTCAAAGGACTTCCCCAGGGACCTGTCTTGGCCCCCCTCCAATTCTTGAAAAAGCACATGTGTACAGATGACAAACACACACATAAATATCCTTCTTTTTTCTTTTTTTTTTTTTAATTAACAAAATCTAAAACGACACTGAAAAGCCCAAACAACATCCACAGGTCATCTGCTATTGCATATAAACTCCCTTTCAATCTGATTTACAGGCATACTTCATCACGCCTTTCGCCCTGGTCCCTCTGATCCTTCTATTAAGCTAACACTGTAAAAACGCTTCATTTCATTTTACAGGGGCTCTGAAAGTGTGCGTAAGGTGGCTGTGGTTTGTGTTTGAGTTGCGCTGGGGGCCCGGGTTGTCAGACAGGCACATGCATTTACTCTGTGGGAACAATGAAGACTTTACACGCTTGTATTTTTGGCCCCTCTGCGATTTACAAGACTGCCTGCGTGAGGTGATTCTCGACTCACTTCTGGTTGGATTTGAGCAATTACGTATGCCCACAAGTGCGTCTGAAGCGGCCTCTGTACACATGTGGAGAACAGCAGAAAATATCACGAACATCTGTTATTCTGGGTCGTCTCAATCATCTGAGTAACACACAAATCACGAAGGGCTTGTGAAGGACTTAAAGTAACCGGTCCCAGATGAGAACTCTGCTCGGAAATATATTGCTTTGTTTATAGGAAGAATGATTGCCGGTGTTCAAAAGTAAAGCCAAGATTAAGGGCGGCAGTAGCTCAGTTGGTAGAGCGTTTGTCCTCGGATCTGAATGTTGATGGTTCAAATCCCTTCGTCATTGGTTCGGTGTGATTCTAGCTCCCACAGATGAATGATGTTGTTGGTTCTTGGGCACATTTAACCCACCTCGCCCCTTGTGTCTCGCTGGTGTATGAGTGGTTCCTTGTTGTAAAGCGCTTTGAATGCCTTGAAGGTGGAAAAGCTTTATAGAAAAGTGTGACCATTTGATACTCCGCAGCTGAGTCATCAACATTACCTGGGGTTGTGAAACTAACTGGAGGCCCTACATTGTCTGAAGCTCTGTTATTCTGTTATTTTATCTGATCTTTATTCTAACAATCTGACCATAAAGAGCGGGTTTATCTGGAACTACGACAGGTGAGAGGATTTGTGCTGCTAAACAAGTTTCTCATACATAACATTACTGTCACTCTCACCTTCTTGTTGAAAATCTAACTTCTAAACAGAACCATGAGCGCTCGTATTGATGACGTAATTTCAGATGATTTAAAAATGTTTTTGTTTGTGTTTGCTTCTGTGGCCTGTAACTTGTAACTTGAATACTGTAAACAACAGGAACATCCATCTCTCCATATGCTATTTTCTCATCTATATTATAATGTTTCCTCATGAGTCATGTTTTGTTTCATTCACACATGTCCATGACCATGACCAGACATCCCTATTTACCCGGGACAGTCCCAGTTTTGAGTCCTGTGTTCCCTGTTCCAGCAGATTTATACAAAACCCAATGACTTGTCCCAGTTTTACACAAGAAATGTCCCACGTGTCCCTATTTTTGACCAATTTGACACTTGCTGCAGTAAAGAGAGGCATCAATTGTCATTTGTTTTCCTTAATTACACGCTCATTTCACAATTTTATCATTACCAACCACCACAAACCGGGGATGTCCCAGTTTTTTGTTTTGAAAGTAATACTGGAAGAGCTTCAGTGTGTTTTGTTTTCAGTGTGTTTTTAAACTCCATGCACCTTCACTAGAATCATTCAACAATTCCGGGGCTGAAATTATTCAGTCTCTACTGAACTAATGTTAAAAGTAAGCTGTTAACATGAAAACTAACATTACATGACATGACAAGGTGGGACAGAGCATTTTGAGCTTTGGAGATGTAGACAGACTAAAAGGTTTACTCAAACATATATGAGTGTAACAAAACACAACTCAAGGTCTTTTTTTGAGGAGGTAACAACATTATAACATGACTTAAAGCTCACAAGAGTCAATTTTGTGCAATATAGGACCTTAGTTACATTTCACCTTACAATATTAGAACCAAAGTTTATCCATTCAGTAAACATTTCCATTTCTTTCCCTTGCTACTCAACTTTACAACTACAGGTTTTGGCGTTTACTTTCGCATCTCCTCTTACACTGGAAATCAACAAATGCCCCATCCAGCACTCAGTGGATTAATGAAGTTATGTCCTTTTTGAAAGTATAAGAGTAGGTGCTCCAAGAAAGGGAACATATACACATTTTTTTGAAAGTGGCAACCATTTATTGACTTCATTGACAGTCTAAGCCAATCTCACACCCCATTTTTTTGTTATTTTTTATGTGATTATTATTTGTTTTATTTGTTATTAACAATAGTAGAAGTATATTTATTATCATTCTATTATTGTTATATTGTGTGACACTACTTGCATTTCTTCATTGAGTTGGAGTGATTTGTTTTTGTTAGTTAGTTTCGTAAGTTATGTTTTCTCTGCATAAAAATGAAAAAGTGTGTGTACATGTGTTACCTGAATGACATCTCTATATCAGTTTACACATGAATAAAAATAAATGAAATCAAAACATTTTCATTTCATAAGTTGTATTCTTACCCTCTCCAGACATGAACCTTTCGAAGAAGGAGTCCCAGGACTTGACGGAGGGCAGGACCGGGTTGTTGTTAAAGAAATGGTAATAGGAGACGGCAGTGTCTTTGGGGTTTCTGAAAATCACCAGCATCTGTTTAACAAAATAACACAGAACATAAACAGTGAGATGATTGAAACTGTGGAGACTGGAATTCAAAACGTGACAAACTCATTTACCTTATGCTTTCTAAGCATCCTACAACTGAACCTGTTGTGATCATTGACGGTAGATAGAGAATATGAACAGGACATGTCTCATGTGAAAGCTCAGAACCTCCAGAATTCCCTCCCTGAGCTGCAGAGGCTGCAGTAGCACTGACTCATGTGCTGGGCTTTAGGCAGTGAGTACTGTTAGGGTTCAGATAACACCAGCAACTTGGCCATGTGCAATGTATTGTTTTTTTTTTTTATTAAGACTAAATGAGCTCTAAATGTTGGTAATAAAAAGTAAAGCACATTAATGAAGTATCCGTGGCTATACATTTGACTACTTACATACTATACCTTAGTTTTGTTTTGATAGAAGGTCGCAGGGATGTTGTCCGCATTCATGTGGAAGCCCACTAATCTTGGTGAAGGAGCATTTTCTAAATTCTAAAAATAAAGGACAATCAGCATTTCAGTGGCAGGTCCCAATGTGTGTACAGTAGGGAGCTCAACATTTTTCCATAAACTTTCAGAAAAAAATGTATATTGAGAGTTTGAAAGCCCAGGGCTAATCAGCTCTGTGGTCACTCATGACAACAATATGTATCATTTGATTTAAATCAGTCTCTGAAAATGGAAAAATCCTTTAAAAAAAACATATGTTCCCTCTGAGAATAGTGTGAATCATTCAATGCAAGCAATGACTTCTCCATGGAGACAAGCAAGTGGCAGAGCCTCTTCCAGAAAAGTTACATAGAGCACTTTAGTAACACTCAATACTTTAAAAAGATGTATGTTTGTCTTTTCTTGAAGTTTAGCTCATGCAGAACATCAGAACATGAGGCAGCTGTCTGCACAGAGAAGGCTCAGTGTGTCAGGAGAACTCTGAGATCTATTGCTCAACACCTCATCCATCACACACACACACACACACACACACACGCGCACACGCGCACACAAACACACACACACACACACAAACACACACACGCACACACAAACACATACAGACACATGTCTGGTTTCCATGAAGTTTCCTAACCTTAAAGAAGACATATTGCGCTTTTGTCTGATATATTGTTACAGTCTGTATATATATCAATGATTCTCTCATACTTCAGTTAGTGGGACTTCCCTTATGCATTCATAGCATCCTAATTATTCAACCCTATAGACCCTAAGACAAAAGTTAGAGCACAGTGCAGAGGGGTTTGCTATGACAGTAAAGCTACCATAACAACTAGCATGCTAACACACCCTTCCTTATCACACAGTGTGCATATTTTGATTACAATTATGAACTGAAAGTTTTGGTATTGTAGGTAGGGAGTATTATACATCTGTTGATATAAGCCAAGATAACAAGACTGAGCTGGCAGTGAGTGTTCTCAGTACAGCACAGAAATGACATTTCTCAAACACTTAACATAAGGAACTACAGTTCTTCATTTACTTGCATGTCAGGGTGAATGTCAGTTAGTTTGCTTCTGTATTTAAAAGTAAGTTAAAATAATGTGGGGGTTCTGAATATGAATTAATTAAAAATCTAGATTTAGTTTTCATTCAGAAAGCAGCTGAGGACAGCTGGCTAAAATGTAATATCATTCAAATTCAATGTTTTCAGACTTTGTCAACTCTGTAACACCCCCATAGTAACATAAACCTCATGAGCCCAAAGTCTGTGTTTAAGCAGAATGGCCCATTTCAGTTCTCTGTGATTCTTGGCTCCTGGGTTTTCTTTGCTCCATTAAATGAACTATGCCTGTTTAAAATGGTGCTGGACCCACCAGAGTGGAGTATGTGAGCACAGATCAGTCACACCACCCAGCGCCCTCTGCTGACATAACAAAACACACACCCACATACGAAAGTGTGGTGCACCATCATTTATTTATTTAACCTTTACTCAACCAGGAAAATATCTCACTGAGATTGAAACATGGGCAACTTTTTGATGCCCATGTTCCCCATGGATTTTAGTCAAATGTGTCTCGTCCCAGTACAGATATACTGTATTGTATAAACAGTTCTTCAGGTCAGAATAAGCCTGTGGTGTGCTGCGGGCATCTAATTACAAATTTAGTTCTATTTTCCAATTATTAGGAAGTGTGTATTAGCATGCTAGTTGTTGTTAGCTTAACTGTCACAGCAACTCCGCTCTGGTTTATGCGAGTTGTGAAAAGTGCTAAAAGGGACAGTTTGGAATTTTGCACATAGGGCCTCATTTCCTAGTGAGCCAGAGTGTTGGAGACCTGTGGAGACACTTTTTGAAATATTCCATCCAGTCCTTGTAGTTGCAGAGGTCACTGGTGCTAGGCTAGTGCATGTCAATGGCCATAGTTAGCCTGCCACTAAAAACACTTACCCACTGCACAAAACACCCAAAGTGAATCTATTATTACACCAGACTGTCCATGTAAATGTCTGTGACCATAGAATAATGTTTAAAATAAAACAAATCTTGCATCGCATGAATCGTTAAGGGACTATTTTCTCATATATAAGTCCGCCAATGCCAAGCTTTCTATCAGGAAAAACAACTCACTGCTGCTCAAACATAAATCCTTCAAATGCAAGGCTGGTTTTACTTTTAAAATGATTCTATCAACACAGACATTTACATGGACAGTCTGGTGTAATAATAGATTTGCTTCAGGTGTTTTGTGGAGTTTGTAAGACTGTTTTTAGTGGCAGGATAACTATGGCCATTGACATGCACTAGCCTAGCACCAGTGACCTCTGCAAATACAAGGACTGGATGGAATACTTAAAAAAAGTGTCTCTACACGTCTCCAACACTGGCTAATTAGAAAATGAGGTCCTATGTCCAAAATTTCGAACTGTCCCTTTAAAAAAATCGGGTGAATGATTAGGATGCTCAAGAATAACTTTAGACCAAAAAGTTACACAGTCCACCTTTAAGACAAGTGGAGGATATTGAGCTGAGAAAAAGCTTATGATCTGACAGAAAATCAACCTTTTTGAAACTTGTAGGTGTCAGACGAACATGAGCAGTATGGGATTACTTTGCCCTCCATGGTAAAAGTCCTGTCTGGTCAAGAGGGATTTTGTCGTTGTAGTACCAGTGAGTGGCCACTAGTCCAACTCGAGACAGCTCTAAGCAGTAATACCCTCTATGCATCACTAGAGTGTAAACCCGGAGCACCTTGATGCCATCAGGTCCAAAGAACTCGAGAAGCGGATGCCTGCTGGAGTCCTGTTTCACTCCCGACGCCAACTCGATGAGCTGACGCAGCACGCCCGCCACCCAGTTAAAACCTGCACACACAAACACACGCATTTCACTTTTCAGATGGTTTTAGAGGACAGTCATGGCTAAAAGAAAAGAGAAGGCAGCCGTACCACCTTAAGAATGTCTGATCTCATCTGATCTCGTTTGATCTCAGACGCTAAGGGTTGGGAGACAGCTGGGTTTACCTGGTGTATATCGCTGTCGTGTCCTTAGGCAAGACCCTTCACCCGTATTGCCTTGTGTGAATGTGGTGTGTGAGTGTTGGTGGTTGTCGCAGGGGCCTGTCTGTCCCAGGGCAGCTGTGGCTACATATTGTGAGGTTGGGCGACAGTAGCTCAGTTGGTAGAGAGTTTGTTTACTAATTTGAAGGTTGGCAGTTTGAATCCCACTCTCGACATAAACATCATTGGTTGAGCAGTGTGATTCTAACTCCCACAGATGAATGCTGTCGTTGTGCCCTTGGACAAGACACTTAACCTACCTCGCCCCCAGTGTCTGCGTACATTGATGTATGAATGTGTGTGTGAATGGGTGAGTGTTTCCTTGTTGTAAAGCGCTGTATAAAAATGTGACCGTCTAACATTTCTATGTAAAGAGAGATTAAATTGACTTTAAAGGGACAGTCCAGAATTTTGGCCTCATTTCCTAGTGAGCCAGAGTGTTGGAGACGTGTGGAGACACTTTTTAAAATATTCCATCTTGTCCTTGTATTTGCAGAGGTCACTGGTGCTAGGCTAGTGCATGTCAATGGCCATAGTTATTCTGCCATTAAAAACAGTCTTACCCACTCCACACAACACCCGAAGAAAATCTATTATTACACCAGACTGTCCATGTGAATGTTTGTGTTGATAAAATAATTTTAGAAGAAAAACCAGCCTTGCATTTGAAGGATTTATGTGTGAGCAGCAGCAGTAAGTTGTACTTCCTGATAGAAAGCTTGGCATTGGCGGACTGATATATGAGAAAATAGTCCCTCAACATGCAACGATTCATGCAATGCAAGATTAGTTTCATTTTAAACATAATTCTATCAACACAGACATTTACATGGACAGTCTGGTGTAATAATAGATTTGCTTTGGGTGTTTTGTGGAGTGGGTAAGACTGTTTTTAGTGGCAGGATAACTATGGCCATTGACATGCACTAGCCTAGCACCAGCGACCTCTGCAAATACAAGGACTGGATGGAATATTTTAAAAAGTGTCTCCACACGTCTCCAACACTCTGGCTCACTAGGAAATGAGGCCCTATGTCCAAAATTCCAGACTGTCCCTTTAAATATTAAGAAATAGAGCTGGACACAGTTGTTAGTTGTAGTTTTAGGATTAGGCTTGACACTCACTCATAAACGAAGAAAAGATGCAAATTCTACAGATTAAAACGCCATACTATCTGGGAATTGAACCCACATTTTCTGATACAACTGCACAATCCCTACAGAGCAAAAAACTAGAGGGTTACAATTTCATGGTAAAATATTTCAGAGTTGTTTTTAACTCAAAAAGTGTTATTTTAACTATTTGAAAGTTAAATGATTTTGTATTGGGGTTATTTACCAGAGTTGATACAGATGAAGTTAATTCAACATCCCTTAGTGTTAATTTGGCACCTCCCACCCACCACTTTAAACTCCCTTAAGAGTAGACCAGTTTGAACCAGTTTTGTACATAATTTCATCTTAAATTAACTCAAACAAAGAGTAAAAATAAAACAGCTCTGTGTGTTGTTTAACTAAATCAGGATAACCCTACAAAGTGTTACCTGTTGAACTCTAAAAATGTTAATATAACTCTTGATTTCGGGGGTTAAACAGGAACTTTGGACCAGTGTTACTTCCAAAAATGTTAAATTAACTCTAGAACAGATTGGACTCATATAAACTCTGAGAAAATGTTAAAAATTATTCCATGAGAGTCAGTTTTAACACTCCACTTTCTGCTGTGTTTAAGCTCTGATATGATCCAGTATTCATCCTGTCTGTGTGTGTGTGTGTGTGTGTGTGTGTGTGTGTGTGTGTGTGTGTGTGTGTGTGTGTGTGTGTGTGTGTGTGTGTGTGTGTGGCCAACACCAAAACAGAACCGCCAAAGACAACATGTCACATTCCTGCTACGCACCGCCGACCAATCCGCTCTGATCTCCTGAAGCCCCGCCCCTTTAGAGCCTCTAGCCCCGCCCACCCTATGATGACAGGTCACACACAAGTATTGGAGACATGTGTACAGACAACTTTAGAATTGTTCTCTGCTACTGCTACTGTTACTACTACTACAACTCCTGCTACTACTAATACTGCTACTACTCCTACTACCACTACTGCTGCTATTACTACTAGAACTCCTGGTACTTCTACTACTACTCCTACTTCCACTACTGCTACTGCTACTGCAACTGCTACTACTCCTACCCCTACTCCTATTACTGCTACTGCTGCTACTACTACAACTCCTGCAACTGCTACTACTCCTACCCCTACTCCTACTACCACTACTACTATTACTGCTACTGCTGGTACTACTACAACTCCTGCTACTGATACTACTTCTACTCATACTACCACCCCTACTACTTCTACTACTACTACTCCTATTACTACTACTAGTACTACTACTCCTATAACTTCTATTACTACTACAACTCCTGCTACTACTCCTACCCCTACTCCTACTACCACTACTCCTACTGCTACAACTACTACTCCTACTACTACTACTACTACTCCTACTACAACTCCTGTTACTGCTACTACTCCTACTCCTACTACCACTACTACTGCTACTACTATTGCTACTACTACTACTACAACTCCTGCTACTGCGACTGCTCCTACCTCTACTCCCACTTCCACTATTACTACAACTGCTAGTAATACTCCTACAGCTCCTCCTACTACTACAACTCCTGCTACTGCGACTAATCTTACCTCTACTTCTACTTCTACACTACTACTACTACTGTTAGTACTACTACTACTACTGTTAGTACTACACTTCTACTACTACAACTCCACTACTACTCTACAACTACTGCTACTGCGACTACTCTTAACCCTACTCCTACTACCACTGCTACCACTGCTACTACAACTCCTACTTCTACTACAATTCCTGTTACTACTACTACCACTACTACTGCTACTACTATTGCTGCTACTACTACTACTACTACTAGAACTCCTGCTACTGCGCCTGCTCCTACCCCTACTCCTACTTCCACTACTACTACAACAGCTAATAATACTCCTACAACTCCTCCTACTTCTACAACTCCTGCTACTGCGACTACTCTTACCTCTACTTCTACTACCACTTCGACTACTGTTAGTACTATTCCTACAACTCCAACTACTACTCCAACTCCTGCTACTGCGACTACTCTTACCCCTACTCCTACTACCACTGCTACTACTGCTACTACTACTCCTACAACTCCTACTACTACTAGAACTCCTGCTACTGCAACTACTGCTACTGTATTTCCAAACCTCGAGTACCCCCCGTACCCCCTTCACCCCATGCCCCCTTCACCCCGTGCCCCCTTCACCCCGTGCCCCCTTCACCCGTGCCCCCTTCACCCGTGCCCCCTTCACCCCGTGCCCCCTTCACCTCGTGCCCCCTGCCCACATACTGCAGCGTGCCAGTCTAAGCCCTGTACAATCCCACAGGAACAGCACAAGTCCCGCCTTCATTTCTCATTTCCTCTGTGTGTGCTCGGAGTGCGTAAACGCCTTGGCTGTGGTCCCATTATGACTGGTGTTTTGTGTAACCAGTCGTCCCTTTGGTCACGTTTGTGTAGAAGTGGATTAGTTCAGTTTGTGGTAACAGATGATGTTTAATGCAGGTGCGGTTATCAAAAGGTTTTTGTTTGGAAGTTTCTTTGATATTTGAAACACTGCGGAAATGTAAACATGACACAATAGAAGACATGCATGTGTAAATGCTTTGATTTATATTGCTGGTAATTTATGATAGTTTAATATTTGATTATGACCATGATTTAAACTTTTGGTTCCTTCTCCCGCTGTGAGTAATTCTACTGCGTTTTGCTGATAATATGTATAATATAATAAATATAAATATAATAATATAATATATAAATGTAAGTAAATATAATATATGATCATATGTCTACTATTGTAGCCACAGCTGCTCTAGGGCAGACTGACAGAAATGAGGCTGCCAATCTGCACCAGTGGCCTCTGCAACAATCACAAACACAAATACAACACATTCATACTATTCAATGTGGGTGAAGTGTCTTGCCTAAGGACACAATGGCAGTTTTTGTCACTGTCGTCCCACTGTGGCACTTGGTATTCCAGTGGTCTCCTGTCCAAGTACTAACCAGGCCCAGCTCTGCTTTGCCTCTGAGATCTGAGAGATTTGGCACTAACAAACTTCACCTTCAAATGAGCTTTATAAAAGTAAGAATTATTCTGGAATAATATGAGATTTAGCAAATTATTTTATGTGAAAAGTAAGAAAAATGCAACTATAAAAGATCTGAAATATTTAAAAGAATTCTTTTATAACTAAATATAATTTAAATATATTCGAATAAGTGATTCTTTTGCTGCAGAGTGCGATATAAAAGACTTTGGCAGATTGTACAGGATTGATCTTTTATGCAGAGTCATGAAATTGCCTGCCTGACGTGTTACTTTCTCACACTATCACTTTCCGTGCATAATCTGGAGTCATAATCTGAGTACACACATTATACACACGCAACCCCCCCCACACACACGCACACACACACACGCGATCTTAAATAAGTTGTTGTATAATTGTGAATGACTATAGTAAGCGTACTTTTACTGCGTGTGATTAAAGCAGTGGCTGTGACTGCGTGCCAGAGGCTCACCTGCTTTCACCTTTGCCCTGTTACTGACTCACTCTAATAACATTCTAATAGACTGGAGCAGTGCACACTTTGGAATACAATTCTCATAGGACCTGAGTCTGCTGTGATCTTTCTAATAATCAGGAAGTGTGTGTTAACATTCTAGCAAAACTCACTTATAAACTGATTGTGCTGAATAATTAGGATGCTCTAAATATATAAGGTAAGTGAGGAATCATTTTGGACCACTGCAGACTGTTTCAAATTAACTAGTTCTGTTTTTCATATTTTTAAGACTGTAAAAATCAGGTAAATCGGGCCTTTAATAAATGTATCTATCGTCATGGTAACAAGCAGCCATGTCTCAGATCAGATCTGTGGAGAGGTGAACCCGCTCACATATTTTTGTGTGTTTTTCTTTCAGCTAAGTAAATGCAAGATAAATAAATACATGTAATGCCATACAGTGAAATATTTTATGCAGGCAAAGCAATAGCATCTCCATGGAGAGGCAGATGACAGACCCTTCAATCGAAAAGTTACTTAGTGTAGCAACAAACACTTTTTTTTTTGTTTTGTTTTGTTTAAATTGCTATAATAAGGATATAATAACTGCCAAGTGAAATGATTTTAATCCCAAAAAGTAGTAAAACAAAAAGCACATGTGCTACCCATTGTAAAGTACTTTTACTTCATTACTACCTCCTCTGACATCAAAGGACCAGAGTCACTTTCACTAAAGTAAATCATTAACATGTGTACACTTCTTACTCTGTGGGTGAGGATCAGACTGTGAGTACAACAAGCTCCATTTATAACCAAACAATAAGACAACTGATACTGAGATTAATCTCCTCAAACGTGACTGGAAATTATGCTTAAAATAGTCCAATATATGTTACATATTAAAATTTTCTGGTCTATGTTATCATTTTATTAGACTTAGACTTAGACATGAGGGATTATTGATCCACAAGGGAATTGATTTGGGCACAGTAGCTCACACACAATATAATATATTATCTATAAATGGTCATAAAAGTTACAAATAAGTAGCAATAAAAAAATAACAAAAGACTGATGTCAAATAAGGCAGAAATTATACAAATGTATAGTAAGTAAAAACTAATATTGTAATATAAATACACAGTTATATACAATCTGTTCCATAAGAGTGAGTTGCTGTACAGCTGTAGGGAGTATTATGTGTTACATAAGGGTGAGTTGTACAGTTGTAGGGAGTATTATCTGTTCCATAAGAGTGAGTTGTACAGTTGTAGGGAGTATTATCTGTTCCATAAGAGTGAGTTGTACAGTTGTAGGGAGTATTATCTGTATTTGTGTTTTTTGTCATGTATGTTCACTTCAGTTTAGTCACCACAATAATCACTAACTAAGTGACTGGTTATTCAGGTGTTACGGAATGTTTACAAAGATATTTAAATGAGGATATTTAAATGTGCATTGTGTAACTTTTCTGGTGGAGGATCTGTCACCTGCTTGTTTCTATGGATATGTCATTGCTCTGCCTGGAATGTTCCACAGTATGACATTAAACACCACTACTTTACATTTATTCATTTACAGGTGGTTTTACAGCTCAAAAATACCCAGAAAAACAGGTATTCCGACTGTGAGCGGGGTCGCCTCTCCACTGATCTGACCTGTAACTTGGTCTGGTTTGGTCTCCGTGAAGATAGAAAGGTTTAATGCCATACTGTAAAACATTCTAAACAAAGCAATAACATCTCCATGGAGAGAAGCATATGACGGACACTTCACCAGAAAAGTTACACAATGCAGCTTAAAAAATAATAATAAATAAATGGTAAATACTGGAATACAAAATAAATATTAAGTCTGATGCTCGTGAAGTGACACTGGAGGTGGCTGCATGATCCCTTGGAAGTTAAAACCAAACTTAAGCACACATTTAATGCCAAATTGAGGAATAATATATCCACAAGAACAGCATGTCCATGGAAATAAACAACCAAATAAGAGTCAGGTTTGTGGACGTGCAAGCCCACTCACAGTAAGGGCACAGGTTTTCTATAAAAATGTCAGTGTAATAAAAACATCCATAATGGTGAAAAAAAAAATACATACTTTTATTTTAGTCTATTTTTGGGGGCTACATACCGTGGCTTTAATAAATATGAACAAAAATCCAGTAATTTTATGGTATTCCTTTTACTACAATGTAATCTTACTGAAGACATAATTAATAAGAGATAATAATAATTATAATCTCAAATAATAATTGAGATGAGAAACAGTTTCTACAAGATGAGACATGTCACGAGATTCGGCCCAGGAGATTTGATTCATGAGATTTGGCTCACGAGATTTGATTCACGAGATTTGGCTCACGGGATTTGGCTCACGAGATTCGGCTCACCAGATTCGGTTCATGAGATTCCGCTCACGAGATTCGGTTCATGAGATTCCGCTCGCGAGATTCGGCTCACAAGATTCCGCTCATGAGATTCAACTCACGAGAATCGGCTCACGAGATTCAGTCCATGAGATTCGGTTCACAAGATTCAGCTTACGAGATTCAACTCAAGAGATTCGGCTCACGAGAACTAGACAAGATGAGATTTTCATTCAATTTTAATGAATAAAATGTACCATTCATTTCACAGTTTTGGCTTCACAATTTTTTGATGTATTTAATTTGACAGTTTTGGTTTCATTGTAGCAGGAGTTACTCAGCAAAGTGAACCTTCTTTTATCTTAGACAAATCTGGACAAAAATCTGAGTTCTCAGTCTTGTGGCAATTTTGTCTGGCGAGATCTTGCTCCATCCCTAATAACTAATACTGAACATACAGATGCACAAATGTTGTAGAGCTATGGTATTAATTAAGACTTAGTAACAACTTAATTAAGAGGTTTGGAGTTAAAGTTTTCATTAAGAGTACTAGCAGTTACTAAACCTGAATCAATCTTAATTACAAAGTTTGAGTCATAATCAAACACGTGTATTCTCCACTCACCACATTTGGGATATGCCACCAGCATGATGTCCTCTGGCCTGGCTCTGAGACAGTCCAGGGCGTTCAGGTTTTCCTCGGGGCAGATGATGCAGGGGTACAGGACGCCTTTGTAGCGGTACAGCTTCTCCTCGTCCTTCATGGCGTTGCCCTGCTCCATGTGTCGCTTCATCACAGACTTGCTGTCACTCATTTTGGGCGAGTGTGTCTTCTCAAACCGGCTCCTGCTGATTGTGGACAAGTGAGTCCGCTCTGAGGCTTTAAGTAGCAGAGAGCCGAGGTGTGGCAGACTGGAGCGGAGCAGAGGCCCACAGAGGGAGTGTGAGCTGAAGAGTCCCATCTACAATGAGAGAGAGGAGGAGAGAGCGAGAGAAGAGGGAGGGAGAAAGGAGGAGCAGACAGCAGCGCTGAAAGAAGTACTGTTGTTGTGTTGTTACAAAAGTAAAAGTAGCCTAAAGTTATAAGAGCAACAAGTACACACACAAAATGCAGGCTGTGCAAAAGTGTCTAAGTACTCACACTGTAAAAACAATATCTAGGTAAGTGAAAGTGACTTAAATTATGAACATTTGACTTTATTTGAGCAGATTCAGCTTGACAAGTAAAATGATCTGCCATTGGAACAAGTGTGTTTTTCTTAATTCAAGCAGCATTTGATTTTGTTTCTTATTTTAAGTGCAAAAAGTGGCTGTTTTTTATTTTATTTTAAGTGCAGCAAGATGTATTTTTGTATTATAAATATAAAAAGTCTTGTTCTATGTTCTGTGCTCTGTGTGACTTAAAGGACATTGAAAGCAAAATGCATTTTCTGTTCTACTGTCCTTAGTATCATGAGCTCCTTGTTTTCTGTGTCTGATGAGGAGAGACTGGAGTATTTGTTTAAATGTAATGTTTTCAAGCTGGTTCAGTTTGTGTTAAAAGCCTGAGACACTTTATGTTTGATGTGTGATCTGTCTGCTTATTGTTTTGTGTGTCTTATAAGCCCATGCGTGTTGGGCGCCAACTAAATGGTGCATGACACTAAATAAGTAAAATAAACTAAACTAAACTCTTCCATTATTTTACTTGTCAAGTGAAATTTTGTTAAATCATGATGACACTTTCTGAATTCAAGTCATTTGCACTTGACTAGATTTTGTTTTTTTGCAGTGCATGTGTACTACAGAGTGAACCAAAATAATAATTTTGTTCCACCGTATGGAATAAACTTATAAAAATATATTTTATTTCAGAGAGAAGAATGTGCGATCACAACTGCTCATACTCAGTACAAACCAGTGCAGAGGCTGAAGTGCATTCTTGTATTTATTTGACAAGAACATTAATCACCATTACTGTAAATGTTCCAGAAAGAGCCAATACAAAATCCTGGTTTTCATCTGTTTCCCCAGACAGGAAATTTGTCCATTGATGTGATTTTTTGAGTTGGATGTTGTGAACATTCTGAGCAACAACATTGTCCATGAAAATCCAGTTGGTTTAAACATAAAAGGACCTACAGCAGGAGTCTCCAACCTGTAGCTCAGGAGATACCAGTAGCTCTCTACCCCCTTCCAAGCAGCTCGCCTAGGAACTTCTGAATTATACTTATTGTGCTGAATAACTCAAATTTGATGAATTAAATGCCTATTTCCTTTGTAAATGTATAATTTTGATGCCTAATTTTGTGCACTATCCATCCATCCATTTTCTTCCGCTTATCCGCGGCCGAGTCGCGGGGGCAGCAGTCTAAGCAGGGACTCCCAGACTTTCTTCACCCCAGACACGTCCTCCAGCTCCTCTGGGGAGACCCCGAGGTGTTCCCAGGCCAGCCCAGAGACATAGTCCCTCCAGCGTGTCCTGGGTCTTCCCCGGGGCCTCCTTCCGGTGGGACATGCCCGGAACACCTCCCGAGGGAGGCGCCCAGGAGGCATCATAACAGATGCTTGAGCCACCTCAACTGCTCCTCTCGACGTGGTGGAGCAGCGGCTCTACTCCGAGCTCCTCTCGTGTGACTGAGCCCTATCTCTAAGGGAGCGCCCAGCCACCCTGCGGAGAAAACTCATTTTGGCCGCTTGTATCCATGATCTTGTTCTTTCGGTCATTACCCAGAGCTCATGACCATGTGCACTAATAACTGGATAATGGGTTATGTTTTATAGACATCTAACTGTACCTCCTTTTCGGCATACCACGACTCTTACATTTACAACATTTCTGGCAACTGCTAAAATTTGTTAGCCAGGCTGGCACCATATAGTGCCTTTGCTCAATTTCTTTTCTCTCCAGCAACTAGGTCAGGAATCAAAATACAATAGACGGTTTGCAAGAACCCTGGAAGTATGAGTTCAGGCACCAGCCAATCAGCGAAGAGCCATATATTCTGTGTTGGCAACAATTCCTGAGATCGAGGATTTAAAGCCGGAACAAAGAGAATGTTTGGTGAATTTCATCAAGAGGAAAGACGTTATTGTCCTTCTTCCTACACGATTTGGGAAAAGCTTAATATACCAGTCAGCCCTGTTAGCGGCGCATTACATACATCACGACCAAATAACAGTGATTGGTTAAATGATAAAAAGTACCTGCCTACTGTCAAGTGAATGAATCCTAACGCTGCGAGGTCAGATGTCTGATGAATCAGGCTAAAAATGAGTAGCTCTGTGGCATTTTCGTTTGGCAAAAAGTAGCTCACAGGAGGAAAAAGATTGGGGACTCCTGACCTACAGCAGTCGTGAGTCAGTGCTAGTACTGTCTCTGCAGCTCAAGGAGGAAATTCTGGAGGTTCTGAGCTTTCACATGAGTCCGTCCATAAACTGAGAATGAGACAAACGTGTATGTGTCTCTATCTGCAGGTTTAGGCTCTGGCAACACAGCTTCAGTCGTGATTGTGGTTTTTTTTTTTTTAAAACAGTAGGAGCATGGGCTATGTACAGTTCTTTATACAGTACTTTCCTTGAGTTCCTTTTCATAACTGGCACACATGCACACGCCGGAGGTCTGCATATACGGGGGGGTGTGCGGTGGTGGGTGCCCGGCTGCTGTTCTCCAGATGGGCACTCGCTGGCACGGGGCCGCTCTGATATGGGCTTTACCGGGTTCATTACGAGAGCCTCTGTTTAAATCGTAGATCCTTAGGTAGTGTTGGGACGAACCACAACCACAGAGAGTCAGAGCGAGCGTGGAAACAGGAGGGAAGAGGTCCCAGAAAGGAGGAGAGAGAAAGAAAGAGAAAGAGAGAAAGAGAGGGAGAGGAGGGACAGAAGAAATGAGAAAGATGATGAGAGGAGTGAGAGCGAGGAAGAGGAGGGAGATGGAGGGAGGCAGGAGTGAAAAAGGAGGACAGGAGGAAGAGAGAAAGACAGAGAGAGTCGGAGGAAGAGATGAAGAGAGTGGGAAAAAAATAGAGAAGACCCATAAAGGGAGAGGGGGATGTGAAACTACAGAAGGAGAAGAAAAAGTGCACGTTCATGTGTTTCTTTACTATTGTGACAGCTATAATTTTGCAAAGAATTCCAAATTATATTCAAAAAAAGACCTGGAGTTGTGTTATGTTTCGTTCACATGTTTGAGTAACTCTTTATTATTAGTCGGTCTACATCTCCAAAGCTTAAAATGCTCTGTTCCACTTCGTGATGTCATGTAGTAGTAGTTTTTATGTTGACAGCTCATTTTACCTTTAGTAAAAATTGGCAATTCCACAGCTGAAATGATCGAAATGATTCTAGTGAAGGTGTATGGAGTTTAAAAACACACTGGAGCCCTTCTTATTTTGCACGTATAACATAACAATAAAAAAACACACTAGATTAAAAAAAAAGTAGTTACTGGAAGAGGCAAAAAACCCAAAAGGACCTTATAAATACATGCATCTTGAATTTCGGACTTCTGGTCATTGCGCAGTGCATACTGGGAAGGATCCTCCGAAAAAGTGAGCATCAAACCACCATGTTTGATGGGATGCGTCTATTCACAATCTTTTCAAGTCTTTTGAACCATATCGCTTTTGTTTCTGGTTCTGATATTGTCATTTTTTAGTTTTGGGATTCGGACATCGTAATCGTGTAGTTGTTGGATCCTAACAGCAGAAAACGGCTCAAGAAACGGGCTTCGAAACTTTACGAACTCCATAACTGCAAAAAGGAATCAGATGTGTGTAACTGCAAACCTCCTTTCAAACTGTTTCCCTTCCCAACAGAATTTAAAAATAGTTAACGGCGAAGGCGATGGGCAGGATTGACACTCTAGCCTGATTCATCAGCCGGTTTCACTTCGTAGAAAAACCGTCTGACCTCACAGTGTTAGAATTCGCTCGACGGTGGGTGGGTACTTTTTTTCATTTAACCAATTGCTGCTATATGTAATGCAGCGCTAACGGGACTAACTGGTATAATAAGACTTTTCCCAAATCCCGTAGGAAGAAGGTCAATAACGTCTTTCCCCTTGATAAAATTCACCAAACATTCTCTTTGTTCCGGCTTTAAATCCTCGATCTCGGGAATCGTTGCCAACACAGAATGTATGGCTCTTCTCTGATTGGCTGGTGCCTGAACTTGCACTTAAGGGGTTTTGGCAAACCGTCTAGTGTATTCTGATTCTTGATCTAGTCGCTGGAGAGAAATGAAATTGAGAGGAGGCAGTAGGTGGCACCAGCCTGGCTATTGATACACAGAAAGGACGAAAAAATTATCTCTGTGCATTAAAAAAAAGAAAGAAAAAAAACATTTAAACACCTTGGATTAAATTCATTTGACTCAAACATGGATTAAAACACAATGAAAGATCCACAAATGAATGACTATCAAACATTTCCTCAAACTCTTTTTAAACAATGCCTCTGACACGCCGTCACTAACCACAAGTGAAAACTGGCTCCACAGTTTACAGTTTTGTTTTCTGTATCGAAAGTAAAACTGAGCTCTTGATGTGACACATTTTGGAACATGAAAATTATTGACAAGTATGTATGACAAGTATTGTATCTATGAATCTCTGAGTTACCACATGACATCACAAGGTGGAACAGTGTTTTCTGTTTGAGAGAAGAATCAGGCTAAATACTGTATGCAGGGTTTGGGTGTTAAAAAATGAAATAAAACACAACTCCAGCAGGTGTGTTTGTGACGAGGGAACGACATTATAACACAGATGAGACAATAGCGTGATACGGGCGCTTTCATAAAACAAACTCTTACAGTATAGAGTATATTCTAACAGAGATGAGTCATGGTGGTTCAACAGGTTCAACTTGACTATAATGAATGAAAGCCAGGCATGTGTGGTGTGGTTTTCTATGGATTATGTTTACATAAGGAAAGTGTGCTGTTTTGTAACGAGCCAAATGAAAACTCTTTTTTGTTGTATTTGTTCATAAATGCATGGCAAAGCTGGCAGGTGAATGCACAGTCATCCCTGTCAGGGATGACTGTGCACAGCTCCCAGGTGAGCACTGTCATCCCCGGGAGACATGACTGTGCATCATCCACAGCATCATCCTCCACTCACCTGACCTGACCTTAAACCAACAGACAACGAGCAAAGACAAAACACCAAACTTTATGTAAGATTTTGGTTTTAAATGAACATGACCTATCTGTCCCAAGATACCAGGTCATACTAGTACTACTACTACTACTACTACTACTACTTCTAGTACTATTACTACTAATACTACTAATACTACTAAAAGTACTACTGTCAGGGATGACTGTGCACAGCTCCCAGGTGAGCACTGTCATCCCCGGGAGACATGACTGTGCGTCATCCACAGCATCATTCTCCACTCACCTTAAAACTTAAACTACTACTTCTACTACTACTGCTACTACTCTTACTACTACTACTACTACTACTGCTGATACTACTACAACTACAACTGCTACTGCTACTACTCTTACTACTACTACTACTACTATAACTACTGCTGCTACTACTACTACTACTACTACTACTACTACTACTACTACTACTACTACTACTACTACTACTACTAATAATAATAATATTACTTCTGCTACTACTTCTACTACTGCTACTACTACTACTACTACTACTACTACTACTACTACTACTACTACTACTACTACTGCTACTGCTACTGCTACTAATACTACTACTGCTACTGCTACTGCTACTACTACTACTACTGCTACTACTACTACTACTACTACTACTACTACTACTACTACTACTTCTAGTACTATTACTTCTAGTACTATTACTTCTACTAACATTTCGACTCTATAACTGCTACTGTCAGACCTGGTTCATCATTTTGGTCTTAAAATATTTGTATTAACATGTCGATTTGAGCTCCTAGTGCTACTGCACATGCGCACGACCCCCAAGTGCTGTTCCAGTTTAAATGCCGTAGATTTGAGCTCCAGAGGCAGAGGCAGAAGTGGAAGAACAAGTAACATTTTACAAGTGTATTGGTTTTATTGTATGTTAAGACCAGTTAAGCACATAAGCACTGACGTGTGCTGTTAGATTTGCGACAGAAGACCTACGTTAGATGACTGAATAGTTTAGATTTAATATTTGATTTTATTGTTATCATTTTCATTACATCGTATTTTATTTTGTTTCCATGTGTAGAAAATGTTGTAACTTTGTTTAGAAAGATGCTGTATAAAAATATCACTATATTATAATAGGAAAGTCACACTGTAGCCTATGATATTAGCTTTAAATATTAAATATTGATATTAATATATATTTTACAGTATTTAATATAAAGATTTCAGTGTCTTAATGCCTGTCGAAATGAGCTACCTCTACCCAAATTCATATAAATGAGTGAATAATGGTGATTCTACAGTGGAAGCAATGAAGTCGAGCCTGTCGATATGTGCTCCCTTTAGTCGAAGCCTATTTCATAGCTGCGCATATTCATATAAATGTGCTGAAATTTGACATGACTAAGGTATAAAGTCTGATCACTGCGTGCAAACAGCATCAAAGCCGCTGTCTCTAATCTGAAGAAATATGTTGTAAAACTGGGGAGGTCAAGGTTCGGGTTTGGTTTTATTGGATCTATATACAACTCTAAACGGACAAAAATACGGTCGCTTATTTCTACGTGGCAACGCGAATCGATAGACGTCACTGTCGATTTAGAAGCTCATTTCGTGAGAGCTCATTTTTTTACGGGGCAGCCCAGTCTGACAGAACACCGGATCAGAATATTCCTGGGGTTTTTATTTTGCTATTTTCTCTCTAGATCAAGATATAAACATTAATAACCGATCGGGTGTCCTCTTTCCTCAGGGTCACTTCTGATGGCGTTAGTAACAGGTTTGATTGCCTGGACCTGCTCCCTGCTAAACCAGCGGAACAGGAAGGGATGTTATCTTCAACAGCCTCGCTCTGGCTTGGCTCTTTAGTTGCGATGATACTCGTGGAATTCCAAATATGGAACCTATAACTGCCGGCCTCTGTGAGCTTCATTTGACTGAAGCAGAACACTAGATCAGATTAAGATGACTGTACTATACTTTACTTTATTTTAGTGCACAGGAGCAGGAGAGAGGCCCCTGCACATGTGGCAATCAAGATCAAAACTCCCCAAAACCAAAAACCACACTGAGACCAGATGGGTGAGAGACATTTACTCAAACTCGAGCCTGTATGTCTCGCTCTCCATCCCTGACCATATGTGCTCAGTCCTCCTCGTCTCTTTGTATAGATTTCAGATTCTGGGCCCCTCTGATAGAATGGGGCCCTTCTATGTCACTTAGTAAACTATATAGAGGACAAAATACCCTTTTAGAGCTGTTTGAGTGACCGTATACCTCATGGACTTTTCACCCAACTGTCTCGTACATGACAGAAGTCGAGTAGGGCCAAAGGTTTGAAATGAAGGTCTGCATGGTTCAGTGCGTCGCACTGTTGTGTATTCTCATAGGGTAAATTAGAGGGCGCACCAGTTCAATTCAGTGTTGTAGAACTTTTTCAGAACTGTAAATTATAACAGAAGTTTGTGAAAAGGCTTGTCTCAGGTTCAGGTGATTTTATTAGTACCTGTAGGTAGACTGGTTTTGCAGTTTTAAAACAATCTGAAGTTCTTTCAAAAACACTTCACAGTTACAGAGACAACGGACACACAGCCTTCGCGACTGAGGAGGGGAAAAGGTAATATGGTTTTGTTGGACAGTTGGGACTTGGAACCTTGGGCCTGAAAAGAGCAGGTGGACCTCCCATGAGAGAGGGGATAAGTCAGAGCTGCTGATGAGCTCTACACAGGAGCTGCCTCAGATGGATTCAGAGTCAGATTTCCGAACTAGACAACAAGAGAAAAGCTAAGCCAGTGGTGTCTAACAGCACCAGTTGCATAGTGTAGACGGCACACCAATGCCTATATTTTCTTAGGTGCCTCAAAAAGGCCGGTCTGGGCCTCTGTCCTGACGGCCTTTTACAGGTGTGCAGTGGAGAGCATCCTCACACCCAACATGACTGTGTGATTCAGCAGCAGCACCATGGCGTGGAGGAAAAGTCTGCAGAAGGTAGACAGAGCTGATGAGCGCATTTGCATTGCCCTGCATTCAAGACATTTACATCAGCAGGTGCAGCACAAAAGCCCACAGCATCATGGAGGACTCCACCCATCCAGAACATGGACTTTTTACAGCTCTCCCATCAGGCAGAAGACCATCTACAGGCCAGGACCACCAGACTTCGGAACAGCTTTTATCCTGATGCCATCAAGCAGATTAATTCTGTCAGAAAGCCCGTACACTAATGCACCTTATGAGACAGCAGTGACTTGGAACCTACATTAGAAAATGGGGGTGGATGAGGGCTGTTTTTAAAGACTGTATTTGACATACAATATTTTAAACTATTTATTCTTATTATTCGTATGATGTATTTGAGTTCAGTGTTTCATTTCTGTGTATTTTTATACTGAAATGACAAATAAATTCTGATTCTGATTCTGAACTTGAATGGATAAAATGCTTGCCTGGACGAATCCAGACTCATCGCTGTACCAGATATGGAGCTGTATAACAAATACAGAGGAATATCCTTCTGGATTTCCAGGCAAATAAAATGCATCATTTACCTCATTTGTGTTGTTGCAGTCCTCTATCTTGCCACCAGAGGTCAGCAAACTGCCAAATCCATATCCAGTCTGACAGCTACATCTTCAACAAATGGCAGATAATTGAGTTTTTGTTTAAATAAGTAATATGTTTGCAGAAGTTCTCTGGCAAATACAGGAGACTACAGACTTTTCACTCACACATGCTGCTGATAAGATAGAACCACAACTGCCCTGAGGCTAACTGTCACAGACAAGGCAGCTGATCTTTGTTATCAGCCTGTCCCATCACCACAATCACTAGGTGGAGTTTCTTGCCTATGGACACAACAACAGTGTTCTGGAATGACTCTGAGAGGGGGACAACATCACATTTGTCAATAATGAAAATAACAAGTTTAGCATCTTCTATTTCCACTTATAAATGTTGTTAACATACCTGAACTGTTAGTACCATTCATTTAATTTTTTATTGTGAGTCCCCCTTTAAAAGCCATGTCAAAACTTTGTATTTTGTTTCATCCACACATGTCTGAGTAACTCTTATTTATTAATCTGTCTGCTTTTCCAAAGCTCAAAATGCTCTGTTCCACCTTGTGATGTCATGAACCAGAAGTTTAAGTGAACAGCTCCTTTTACCTTTTAGTTCAATAGAGATTGATAGTTCCAGGGCTGAAATTATCCAAATGATCCTAGTGAAGGTGTGTGGTGGAAAGAAGTGTTTTCAGTGTGAGAGAAGAACTAATGTAATAAATTGTGTGAATGAAACAAAACACAAATCCAGGTCTCTTTGTGATCAAGAAACAACGTTACAACATAGTCTAAAAAAAAAAAAAAAAAAGTGTATAATATGGGGCTTTTAATATATTACTATATTTTTGCTCTTCTGTTAACCGGAAGCTAGTGCTGTCACGCCCCTGCCTTTATTTTGAAAAACCGGAAACGCGCTTGAGTTCCAGCAGCTGCAGCTTGACGTGGTCCTGAGTCTGAGCTGAATGAATGACATCATGCGGACTGCTGCTGCTGCTGGTGTGTGAATCGTGTGTGAGCCGAGTGTGAGCCGAGCGCGTACCGTGTGTGCTCCGTGTGTGCGCCCGCCTCCAGCTGCGACATGCCCCTCTCACGGTGAGTCAGTCCGGCCATGCACACCGAGCTCCGGCCGCTAACACACGCACATGGGCCCGGACCGTGCTGCTCCGTGCTGCAGATGAGCACGTATGGCCCGTGTGGAGGTGCCGCTGTCGGAGGAGGGCCAGCGCGGGCGGCTGGTGCGCGCGGACTGGACCTGTTACGCCGTCGGTATCGGCGGATATAAAGCACGCGTTTTGGTTTGGGTTTAAAGGCTGTATTCGCGGAGCTCGTATGTTCCGTGGACAACGTGTTCGCGTTACCTGGCGTGAGTCATACGGCCATTTGCCTGTTACGTCTGCTCCGGGATTATTGCATGATTATTTATGTAACGTTTATTCCTCCTGCAGAAAAGGTTTTTTGTGTATCGTTACAATGAGCTACTAAAATGTCACGTGCCATGGTAGGTTGGCACGAGCCTTTGTGAGCTATTCACTCTGATAGTGCTCATTTGCAATTAACACAATTACTGGCCAAATGTATCTGTATTTATTTTATTGCAGCGTTAGATGTCGATAGTTAATGGAAAGGCCGAGGCTAGAGGACTATTACCTTCTATTATTATTATGCTAAATGTGATGTAACCTGTGTCAGAGGAGACATGACCTTTGACCTGTTTATTAAATGAGACGCTTTCTCATAACGCTGTAGTTAATAATGGCATGTGTGGTGCACATGCACATTTGGCCTGGTAATTGGTCTCTTGGAGGGAACACTGTGAACTATTGCAGTCAGTCACATGCAGTGCATGTTATTAACCATTTCAATATCTTTGTATTCACTCCATCACATCTGAGTCTCATCTGGCTCATGCTACTGGAGAATATAAGAATACAGAATATTATTATATCTTATATATGATTCAGATCAGAGACAGTCCTTTTAGATTTAAACAACTGGATTTTGGCATTGAAACTGACAACTCAAATGAGAGACTAAGGCTCATTCTGCGTTTTAAGAACCAAAACAACAAATTATAACATTAATAAATGGCACGTCATTTCCAATGTTTTTGTAATTACATTAAGAATAAATCAGCATTGCCACTGTTACCAGTAAAAGCTATATTTGATTCAAACTTGTTTTTAACTCAGATCTGGGGACAAAGAAAAGACAGGTTTATGTTATTTAAAATCTAAAATTTACATACAGTTCCTTTAATATTAGCTACTGTATTCTGTGACTGCACTGGAATAGACCGTGGTGTTAGTTGCTACAAGAAAGCAAGATATTCAGGTAATGTTAGATACTGGAGTTAATCCATCATATTAATAAAAGCCATAAAATCCACATGACTGGAAAGTGCCACTCCAGATGAATCTGTTTTCTACCCATTTAGTAAGTTCTTAAAGATGGCCATGGAGTGACCATTTAGATTTACTTCTGATTCATTAGTTTATCATTAACTGCAAGTGACAATCATATCAAACATTATTACACATTTGCTGTATCATTGCCGTCTTATAATAACAAGGTGCAGCTCTCTCTCTTTATATATCTTTCTTTATGAACATATGAAATTGACCTAGAAACCAGTCTAACGTTTCCAAAAATAACTTGAGCTATTATTAGACAGAGGTGCTATAAAAAGCCTCATGTTGTAGTAACTCTCTCCTCTTCTCTCCTCTCTCCTTTCCTCTCTTCTCTCCTCTCCTCTCTCGTCTCCTCAGTTGAGTGGTGATGCAGCCGGAGTTGTGTTCTCGTGGCACTGGTTCCTTGTTCCAGGACAGGACGGGGCCGGCTGCCTCCGACCCGCCCGCTGCCCCGCCCTCCCAGCCTGCCCCGCCACCCTACCACCCATCCTGCTCCTCCCATGTGTCCTCTCTGAGCAACTTCAGCATCACAGGGACCCTCCCAGACCCCAGCACGACTGCAGCCATCCCCTGGTACGACATGAGCCTCCCCACGCGCAGGTAAGAGAGCACTGTGGTTCAGATAGAGTTGCTGGGCTATGGGCACAGACTGTATACTTAAGTGGACATAATTAGCCCGCTAGACGCCGCGTTCCAAATAGGAAGTGACCATGGCTCCATCGACTGTTTCCAGTTGACTTCTTGCTCCTCTCTCTGTAACTGCTGCAGTGAGTTTTGTCATTTTGTCCATAAATAAATTCCTATTCCTAATATGGAACTCGGCTCCTCTGACTTCTAGCCTCTGTAAGCTTCATTTGAAGCCAAACGCTGTTGGTGACACTCCCTTAGTCCACTTCTTTATACAGTCTATGCTCACAATACAGCACACATCCTGGTACAGGGTTCCCAGTATGATACAGTTTTGAGCACAGTACCCACACCTTGTTACGATATGTGTCCTGATATGTGGATATCTATTAAAACTGCTGTTAAAAGTTCACAATTCATTGATTATGTAGAGTAACAAAGTGCCAAATGCACTTTGTTTCATGTCCACAAAGCCTTTACTCTCAGAAAACAATTGCCCTATGAATAAGACACCCTTTTGAGGCCAGCAGATTGAGGCTTAATGCAGTAGTGAGCCATTTAATAAGTGTATAACAATGTTACTATAATTGCTTTATGTGGTTCAAAGTATCACAGTACACATCTCTCTGTCAGTATCTGTATTGCCAAGTCTGTAACAATATATTTCCGTATCTTGAGTACAGCTCCAATAGCAGGAGAAGACATGGAGAGGACCATAGACTGTATAAAAAAGTGGACTAAGTGAGTGTGACGTCACCCATAGCGTTCAACGCTGCTCAAATGAGGCTCGTGAGGCTCACGGTTACAGGAGTCAATCTGGAGCCAGGTTCTATTTTATGAATATGATTTTTTGACGGACAAAATAGTGAAAAAAAAATTCAGGATCATGTGTTGCGCGTTAATATCAACATTTTAAGACCAAAATGATGAGGCTCACAGCAGCAGTTACAGAGAGAGGGGTGACAAGATCCTCATGTAAGTCAGTTGGAGCCAGAGTCAGAAGGAGCCGGAAGAGCCTCTTGGCGAACTTCCTATTTGGCATGCAGCAGCTAGCACGTTAGCTATGTCCACTCATATATATGGCCTAGGTTTGGGACACAGGAAAAGCCAGTTTAATATAACAGTATAATTTTAAAGTTTAATATAACTTCTTTGTATATGTGGCGCCCTGGACACATTTGCTATAAAAATAAGAAATATGCAATAACTATTAATTTTGTAATGTTCTGTCTATATTTTGGTTTATTTGTGAGGCACATTTAATCAATGATCAGTTACAGATCTAATACCATATTAGTCCAGTAGGTGTCAGTAAAGGCTCAGTCTATGATGTAAACTGGTGTTTACAGAGGTTTACACATGGATCTATTATAGTTCTATGGGTTATATGTGAGTATGGATGTTTGGCCTGTCTCTGCAGGGGTCCCACAGGCTGCACGGGGCGGCCCCCTCACATCCGCTCCCTCAGCGACAGCAGGGACAGTGGGTACCCACACTCCTACGCCTCGGTCAGGTACGCGGGAGAAATAAAAGTTAATAAATAGATACACTGATATATTTCTAAACCTTAGGGGAAACATGTGACGGAAATCTACTTTTACCCTTATACCATATATGTCTGTCTGTGGTCAACAACAACAATCATTTTAGTGATCATGAAATTTGTTTTGCTGCAATGAATATTTTGTAAGAGCAGCTTTGGCTCAAGACCACTTCCTGCTGTCAAATAATAAAGCATTTTTATTGGCTGTGAACCAGGAAGTAATGGTGGTGAAATGTTAGCATGCTAACTGTCATTAACAGTGGTGTCTGTTTAGTCTCTGAAAGTTGTGAAGCATGGTTATAAACTCACTGTGGTGAATTAGAATGTGATGAGCACACACGAGACTGTATAGATTTGACTTACTAACTGCAAAATGCTGCACAGCCAAAGTAAATCATTAAATTCAGAGTTTGATTTGAGTATGTCTTTCGTAATCTTTCTGTACATTTTTGGTGACAGGAGGAGAACACAGAGTGTGGGGGTGGGGACGCACGCTGATGAAGAGGACGAAGAGGAGGACGAAGACGAGGACGGAGGCTCGGAAGAGGAAGGAGCAGAGGAGGAGGACGAGGACGAGGCAGAGGAGAGGGACAGAGAGAGGGACACACATAAAAAGTCTTCAGCAGGACACCACCATCATCATCATCACTATACCACCGGCACTTCCTCTACCCCCCACCCTCTCCCCTGGGACCCCCGCCCGACCCCGACCAAGACCTGGATCTCATTGGTGAGTACATTTGTGCACACAGAAATCATCTTTGAGTAGTTGTGTGTTATTGTTTAGACCATTTTTAGTTTGGGGCATGAGGGCTGGGTGTTGTTTATCTGGGTAATGCCCAGAGTTTCAAACAAAGAACTGAAGGGTCATGTGTAGCATTTTACTGCTCAATAACAGGAGTCAAGTGTATGGTACCTGCATAGTGACAACAGGACACCTCTGTCTTTGATTTGTATTTCATGTCCTCCTTAGACCAGGGCTCATACTGCGGTGTGGAGACTGCCGCGGCGTCAGCGGCCGTGCGCCGGCGTCTGGCTCACTTCTTGCGTGCGGCGGACAGCAGTATGCAGCGGCGTTTGGCCAAAGTGAGCACGGAGCTGGCCCAGACGGACACAGAACTACTGTGTGAACGCGCTCACTCCCAGCACCTGGCCCAGGAGCGACGCGAGGTGGCCCAGAGGCAGCGCTCCCTCAGCAGGCAGGTGGACGTGGCTGTCATGGTGATCGCCGCACTGAGGGAGCAGATCAACGCCTCCGAGAATGAACTCGAGCGGAGAGAGAGGTACACGAATAAAGGGGCAGTATGTGATAACATTGTTCTGCCTGCAATTTTCCACAGTGTGACATTAAAAGTGCACTATGAAACTATGACCTCCTCCTCATCCTACATCCTCTGATCCACCTGACCTTCTCTTCTGCATCCTCTGCTTCATCTGGCTCTCTTCTCTGCATCCTCCACTCCAGCTCACCCACTCCTCCGCATCCTCTGCTCCATTTGATCCTCTTTTCTGCTCCATCTGACCCTCTTCTCTGTATCCTTCACTCAGTCTGACCCTCTCCTCTGTTCCATCTGACTCTCTCTTCAGTATCCTCCACATCCTCTGACCCTCCCCTCTCCTCTCCTCTGCTTCTCTGACCTTCTCCTCTCATATGTCCAGGGAGGTGATCACCATACAGAAATTCTTGGAGGCAGCAGCGAGGCAGGAGACGAGTGGCAAAGTCCGAATACAGCACTTTATCGAGAACTTGCTCAGTCGCATTGCTCTGGCAGAGAAACTAGTAGAGTATTACCAGGTGAACGGCAGCCCTCCACAGTACAACCACTACCAGGTACGCACACGAATACATCAGGACATAATAATGTTCTTTAGACCGGTTTTCATCATTTCACTGTGCACATGTCCCTCTCAGCAGCACCAACCAGCTACGAGTAATGGACCTCATAGAATCACTAAAAGCAAGTAAGTACCAATTTACTCAATTTACTGTTCAATGTTATGTTTTTGCATCATTTTTTCCGCTGAGAGTCTATTCCTACCGGATGCCAAAGCCCAACAGAGGTCTCCCTTTAATAAATGAATAGTTATGACGTGAACACGTGGTCTGGAGCGTGCAGCTTCAAAGGCGGTGACACAGCAGCAGCTACACCAGCCCCACTGGAGTCACAGCTGGACCGGGGGCAGTCTGAGCGGGCAGTAATTGTCTTCTGTGTTGCCTGCAGAGGGACAACAGATGGAAATTAGCACCTATAATGTGTCATGTTTACACTGTAACTGTTACTGATGGTTATGAAAGCTCAGTCCCAGAGCAGAGTCTTAGTTAAATTTACACCACAGTGTTAAAATTACACCATGTGTAATCTTAATCTGCCATATTTACAGTGGACCAGTTTTGGTGACCTTTCCCACTTTGAGTAAATCTACAAGTGACAACATCACATCCTTCAGATATGATGTTTCTGTGAACATTAAAACTAAATGATTAAACATATTATGCTTTGGTCTGCTTTATAGTTTTAATCTGTGACACCTCATGGAGGTTATATTTTGCACATTGTAATTCCCAATATTGATCTAAATAATCAGAACAAAGTGCCACCCTGGCGGCCTGCTGCCAATCCAGTAGATTACTATAGATGTTAAATCACAGTAGCCAATAGCTAATTTTTTAACATTTGGGCCCAAATTGTTACTCAGTGCTGCTAAACTGCTGCACAGAACACAGAAATGGTGAATTTCTGGAGCTATGGCATCTTGCAGAACTGATCTGTCAAGATGTGTGAATCAAATATCTCAAATGAGAAGGGAAAATATTGATAATATGGTTAAAAGCTCTGAAGCCTCCTTGAACTGTAACTAACTGTGTGTGCAGGTCTGCCGGGGGCCCTCTGTCCTCGGGCTTCCCTGACAGCAGGAGCCAGTGCCAGGGGCACATGTGCAGAGGGCCTGGGCCTAAAGCCTGTGTGGAGAGGGACCTGGAGAGAGAGCACCGTGAGAGGCTCGCCCACTCCTCCAGGCTCTTCTGCAGACCCGAGCACAGGGACGGCATCTGGAACTACCAGAGGAGGCGCTCTGCCGGGTATGAGGCGTAGAGCTGCACAGGGGACTGATCTGTGCTGTGAGTAACCGGCACATGCTCCGTTTGGCCGGGTTTGGTCCGGTTTGGTCCAGTTTGGCCTGGATCTGCCGGCCTCTGTGGTCCTGTCCACACAAACTCTGTCTGCGCTTTCAAATCTGTCATGTACCTGTCTAAAGGATGTCTCTGTGATAGCTGGGAGTTTAGAGTTTGAAGTGGAGTTGGTGTCTTAAATATGCCTCCAAAAAGTGACGGCATCAAATAGAAGTCTGTTTGGTGATGATTATGATCAAACCAGATGGATAAATACAACCAGCAAAAATATTACAAGACAGGGTCAACTCAAGTAAGAGATGAAAAAATACAAGCTTTTGAATAATATTAAGAAATGATAAAGTTCCAGAGACATTGTATGAGAGGCTTACAGTTTTAACATTATGAGCTGGTAATTGATCATTTGCAGTGACATCATTCTTGGGGGATAGTGTGTACGTTTATGGTGGTCTGTGAAGATATATTCAGCATTAACCATGATGACACTGTATACACATTAGCAAACACCACCTGATACATCTGAAAACTACTAAATTTACAGACAAATGAAAAAACAAAGATATAAATATATACATTATTATTTAAACAACCCATTTTCAGGAGTGTGTGATCAATATAAACCATTTAGGTGTTAGGTCAAATTGTATTAAAACAAAGCTCAGATTAATGTCTAACTTGAGCAACAGAGCTTCAGACAGTGCAGTGCCTCCGGTTAACATCACCCCCCAGAAAATGTTGATGACATCAGCTGCAAAGTATCAAGAGGGCAGCGTAAAAAGTAAACAAAACATCTAACTGTGATTTGAGAATTACAATTGCAGTTTATGTTTTGAAACCGTAAATACTAAATACAAAGATCCCATGCGTTTCAGAACATGTTTGTAGCGGCGTAAAGTACAGGGACAGGACATTTTGTTGTTTGTAGAGGAAATGAATCGTAGCCTTTGTGATTTCATACTTGTGGAACTTTGTCATCTTGGAAAAAAATTGGAAAATACACATTCTCCTCTGCACATAATACAGAAAGCATATAGTCATACGATAAAAACTACAGATATACGATATATAATTTTGCCGATATATGCCCTTTATAGCGTATCAACGATCTGCCCTAAATCTCCAGCACAGGCCGATATTTTGTTTTGGTCGACCAACTGCCTAAAAAATACCCATAAAGCTTTATTTTTACACTTGAGTACAAACTGAGATAATTACACGAAATGTGACTCCACAGCTTGAGGTTAAAGGTGTATTGTGTAACTTTTTGGTTAGGGGTCTGTCATTTGCTTGTTTCTAAGATTACGTCATTGTTCTGCCCGGAATGTTCCACTGTAGGGCTGTGCCAAAAATAGATTGCGATCTCTACTTTGGTCGATCTCGGTGATAAGGCAAGCGCATTTTAATCGACAGGTCTGCAGCCTTCTCATCTTCTCATCAAGTTATGGAAAGTAAAAAACTATTTTCTCACCATTTATGGGTGAAACTTAAGTCCTTGTTTAGCGCACGGACATCGAACATGATTTTGTTGATATTGATAGCGTGTATTAGGTTTAGGTTTTAGGTATTAGGTATTTATTTATTTTAGGTATTATTTTATGTATTTTAGATATTTTTGGTATTTATGTATTTTAGGTGTTATTTATTTTAGGTATTTTAGGTATTAGGTTTAATATATTGTACAAACTCATTCCAGCTTCTAAATGTGAATTTCTCTGGAATGATTGGTCCCATCAACACGGAATAAAACCTGTAATGATCCTGATACACTGCCCTTTATGCCTGATGTCCACATGGCTATGTTTTTAATAAGATGGAAGAAGATCTAATCAAAAATTGAGATAGATCAATACGGGGGGGAAAAAATCTTGATTCTTTTTTTCCCATATTGCCCAGTCCTATTCCACAGTCTGACATTAAACAGCTCTGCCTTATGTTTATTCAGTTACAGGTGGTTGTATAGCTCAATATAAAATATGTAATATAAAAATATCTAGAATAACTGGCGTTCTGACTTTGTGTGGGGTCGCCTTCTCACAGATCTGACCTGTAACTTAGTCTGGTTTGGTCTCCATGAAGATAGAAAGGTTTAATCCCATCCTGTGAAATATTCCAGACATTGCAATAACATTTCCATGGAGAAACGTTACACAATGCATTTTTAAACAAAAGAGTTGTGGGAAGAGTTTTTTGCAAAGCTTACTTCGATTATTAGGGGAAATCTAATCTAAATCATCCCAAAAATATCGGCAGTGTTTATTGGCCATCAGTTGACCTGGATTCTAAATAATCGGTACTGTATTGGCTATGAAAAACAAAACAAAACAGCAAATCGATCTCTAATAAAAGTTTAATGCATTTGTAAGCACAGACAGAGATGGTAGAACTCAGACCTGGATCCAGCCCAGACTGCTCCTGCTTTTACGTTAGCTGTAGGTTTAGCTGAAAGAGAGCCATGGAGTACTACTGGAACTTGTAAATACGACTTATAGTACTATGTGTATAATGGTTTTAGCGTCACGTTTTAGGTATTCTTTTACCGTCAGCGGCCAAGGCTTTAAAGCAGGTACAGTCTGAACGCAGCAGGGCCTGTCACAAACTTTTCCAAATAATACATGAGCAGTGGTTTGGGGTCGTGAAGCAAAAACTGGAACAAAGCTCGATTTCTTTTCTGTCTGTATAGAATCAATAATCAGTAATCTCTTCAAAAGGTGGTGACATTATTAAATCAAAAACATGTACCGGTAATCATTGGCAGCTATAAAGACTAAGAATTAATATGGTAAAATTGTGGAGCCAAAAACCAAAAAATCATAAGGTAAAATTTGAGTTGGATATGTCGTTAAAATATAGTGAATTTATGACAACAAATTCTAAAATGTTGTGAGCCACGTCTACAGTAAAAGAATGACTTGATATAAACTACTTAAAGCAGCATTATGTAACTTTTCTAGTGGAAGGTCTGCCGCCTACTTGTCTCCACGGCAATGCTTTTGCTTTGCCTGGAATGTTCCACAGTATGACACTAAACTTGTCTTTCCAATTTTATTTTCTAATGTTATAGCAAATATTTAGAGGTGGGACCAAGTCGTCGTTTTGCAAGTCTCAGCTAAGTCTCAATGATCTCAAGTCCGAGTCAAGTCCAAGTCGAGTCTCGAGTCACTGGCCCATAAGTCCAAGTCAAGTCCAAGTCGTCTTCTTTGAGATTCAAGTCATTTCAAGTCTTTAAAACAAAGTACCAAATATAGCTTAGATTTTTGCAATTTATATAAATTTTAAACTAAATTGTACTTTTAAAAAAATCATAGTATATTATATATGAGTATTTATAGAGTATATAAGAATTGTAGAAATGCTATTTTTTTCTTTTTAAATGTCTTGACCAGATCTTAAAGTGAATCATTACTGTCAGAATAAAACACATTCAGATTTAAAAGTGCTTCTCAAGTCTTCTCAAGTCACAGACCTCAAGTTCGAGTCAAGTCCCAAGTCATTGACCTTCAAATTCAAGTCGAGTCCCAAGTCTTAGTCCATTTTATCAAGTCAAGTCTCAAGTCCTAAAAATAGTGACTGACTCGAGTCCAAGTTGCACGTCCCCATTTCTGGTATTTACATTTCTTTACATCTTTTTTTTTTATTGCTCAGAGGTTTCCTTGAAAAACCTGCATTCGCATTTGCCTCTCCACAGATCTGACTTGGAATAGTTGCGCTGCCTGCTCTCCTTCATGGAGACTGAAAAGTTTAAGGCCAAACTGAGGAACATTCCAGCAAAACAATCACATCTCTGTAGGGACAAGCAGAAAAGTTACTGTACGTAGAAAAGCTTTAACTGTTCCATTTAGCCTTTTATTATTTTTCAGCTTGTTTATTTCAGATACTGCTCATTTTACAGGAATTTAATCAGTTTTCAGGTTAATTTATCAATGCCATAAACTGGTCTTCTATATGTTAACTCATATTTCACAGTAAAATGTCATTTCAAAATGAGTCCTCATGACAGGCCTTGTGAACAGTCCAGGTTCGATCCAGGTCTGACCCTCTTATAGAATGTACTCTGAGACGCCACGCTCTCCGTCGTGGTCGTCGCGGACACAAAAACGGGTGGAGCTTCTGCAGTAGACTCCTCATCTTTGCACTCATCCCCGATCTGAATGTACATGTAAGCAGCGGTACTAGTTTTACAGTGTAACCCAGTGTTGTTGGCTTAGGTTTGTGGACAGTGTGAATAGATATTTTGTATACAAATCTATGCTGTGTAAATGTCACGTGGAAGTAGTAGTAACATCTTTTTTTTTGTCATAAATGCTCAAAAAAAAAAAAGATTTCAGTTACATTTTATGAATTTTCACATAAGCAAGGCACACTAAAAAAGTATGGTACAAAGGCGGGCTGCAAATAGGAATAATTGTGGCATATTTACTACTAAAATAATCTTATTTTTACTGTCTTAAAACCATGAAAAACAAAACTAGTTCATTGTAAACAGTTTGCAGTGGTCCAAAGTTATTCCTCATTTACCTTATGAATCCTGAACATCATAATTATTCGCCCTAATGAGTTTATAAGCGTTAACTCTAACTCTAGTTTTACTTCTTGACAAGAGAAATTTTACTTTATTACATATGTGGATACCTCACTTGCGACAGATGATTTGTATGCCTGTAAGAACCCATGTTGAAGGTGCCAGTTTCCTCCTACATACCTCTCCTGGTTGGTCTCGTAGTTGTCATGGATGTACATAGGGCCCCTGACTTTTGGGGGGGTAGAACTCTTGAGATTCTTGCGGCTGGATGTTGGTCCCCTGGGTGCAGGAGGGACATGAGCAATTTCTAGCCTGATTCATCAGCTGGTTTTAGTTTGTGGAAACCGTCTGACCTCGCAGCATTAGGATTAATTCACTCAACAATAGGCGGGTACTTTTTTTATTAACCAGTCGCTGCTATTTGGTCGTGACGTATGCAATGC